GCCCAGCCTCAGCCTGGCAGTGCTGACCTTCCCCGTGCCCTCCCCAGCCCTGAATTCCACCTGCAACGTGCACGACGAGTTCGAGTGCGGCAATGGCGACTGCATTGACTTCAGCCGTACCTGTGACGGCGTGGTCCACTGCAAGGACAAGTCGGATGAGAAGCAGTCCTACTGCAGTAAGGTTCCTCCTCTTGCTGCTTTGCTCAAACACACGTGCACCCCCAGCACCCTGTTGAGCTGTCGGCTCCGTTTGGCCAAGGGAGCCAGGAGTCCTGGGGGTTTTCTCGTGTCCCTCAAACACTCACTTGTGGTCCCTGATGCCCTTGCGGACACGGACCCAGCTGGGCTCCAGATTTTTTCCAGTTTTGGGGGGCAAGCTGGAGAGTGGGACGCCTTGAGCTGACCTGGTGGGGGGCTGCAGCACCCTCCCCATCCTCACTCCTCAGCTGGGAGGGATCTGTACTGGGCGAAGGCCCAGCTTAACCCTGCAGTGTGGCCAGCACTGCACCAGGGAGCCCGTTCCCTCATCCTGCCTGTGTAGTTTCTTCCCTTGCTGAAGGGTCCCTGAGGAGCTGACACCCCCAGGGACTGCAGCCTGCCCCTCACGCTCACCAGCTCTCCCTCCTCCTCCTCGCCCTCCCTGGCAGGCAGCCGCAGGTGCAAGAAGGGTTACCTGCACTGCATGAACGGGCGCTGCGTCGCCAGCCGCTACTGGTGCAACGGCGTCGACGACTGCGGGGACAACTCGGACGAAGTGCCCTGCAACAGTAAGAGGCCTGCCTGGCTCCCAGCCAGCTCTTGCCGGGGCTCCGTCAGCTGTCTGGGACAGGGACAAGCTCCAGGGAAGAGTTACCTTCAGCTTGACAGGGTCAGAGCAGAGCTAGGGCTTCATGGAGAGACAAGGTCTAAATCCTGCTTGTGCAGCAGAGCACTTTGGAAAGCTCGTTCCCAGGCTTCTTCCCAGGGAGGGGGAGTTCCTGAGAAGAGCTGTGCAGCACCCAGAGCCTCCCAAGAGCAGTGGTTTGACACCCAGGAGGGTGGTGGGGTGATGGTGAGGTGCAGTGTCACTGCTCCTCATGGCTCCCGTGCTCCTGAGAAAATGGTACCCAAGGGCAGCACCCCCTCAGAGCCGCAGGGCTACAGAAGCCCCGCTGCTTGGTCCATAGGATCATTTTAGCTGGAAGGGGCCTTCATGAGGGTCAAGTCCAACCAAGTTCAGAATGGACGGGGAAGGTCAGGAGCTTTCCTGAGCCCATCCAGGCCTGCAAGGCCTGTGGCCAGTTTGGGAGCAGAGATCAGGTTGCCAGGCAGAGTCCATGAGCTGGGGAGGCACCAGTGCTGAGCTGGAAGGGGACCAGAGCCTGGGGTGCAGGATCAGGCCGTCGGTAGCTGTGCTGGGTGGACGTCTGTGCGGGCACGTTCACAACAGGAGCGGGGCCACGGGGTGTCTGTACACGGCGGGTCCCCCAGCCCAGCAGAAACCAGCTTCCCTCCTGCAGAAACCAGCTGCAGCGCGACCGAGGTCCGGTACCTCGAGTCGCGGCAACCAGGTCATCGACTGCGAGGACGCCTCGGACGAAAGGAACTGCAGTGAGTGCCCCAGCTGCCGTCCCACGGCCCCTGCTGCCCTCCCAGCCCAACCCTGCTGCAGCTCTGGAGATGCTCCTGCCCTCTGTGCCTCTGGGTGGGGGCCTGGGGCCCTGCACCTCGTTCGGTCTTTGGGGCTTTTGCTGTGTCGGGGCGGGGAAA